TTTCGTGTTCCAGCAGAATTTGGCTAACTCCATGAGCACCCCCGGCAGTGATCGCTTTCACGGGACCGATGTTAGTTAAGCGATCAAGCTCACGAAAAGTAAGTTTCTCTCTAACTTTCTCCTCAACTTTGTCCTGTAAGATGGACCGTAAAAATTGGCTTCTATGAGCTGATAACAGTATATCCGATGCTCCTTCAGCTATCGCTTGCTACGAATAAAAAGTAATGTGGACAAATACCAACGAACTTCATTTGAAATAAGAAAAATTGCTTCAACCTAGAGATACGGAAGGAGTGATCATAAGTTAATTACTTAAATAAGTCTGCATTTGTAGCCTCTCAGATCTAACGCTGACTAGAGCGAACATGAAATCGAAGGTTATACATTTTCTGCGTCTCGATTTCCACTATTTGGAGCAATCTTCAAAACCGGTATTGTTCGTGTAGTAAAAAAAAAGTAGAGCATAATTAAAAATACTTTTACCACTTGTTCAATGATTTGCTCGCCGTAGAGCTCCAAATCGTCTTCATCCGCGTTTACTCTATCATCGATCCGAGATTTTTTGGGCTCCGGGGAAGCTTCTTCTTCTAAAATTATGCTAATCAGTTATAAAGTGTAGATGAGGTGTGCTTTCTTAGAAGAAAAGAAGTTACTTATTTCCTCCTTATACACGGAAAATTCCAACAGCTGAGAATCACCAAGTCGAGAACCAATAAAGAGGCGTCCGGGAGCACATAAGTTCATACAGTAGGCTATGGATGTATCTGCACAAGTTTTTCGGATGTGCAGCAACATCCAACACAAAAGTGTTTCCAATCGCTACTCACCAAACACATGCTCCAAATCGAGGGAGCGGACTGTTTCCGAAGAATCTGTGATCAAAGTAAGAACAAGTAATTTGCCATCCATCGTTCCTAACGCGATATGATTGCTGCCAATCCACTCTGCTGCACCTGCGTCTAAGGTCATTGACATATGCTTCAGATCCTAAGAGGGTAGACATAGGAAAGCGCTTAGCACAGTAACAAAAATCAAGTTATGAAATTATTACAGAAAGAAGGATTTACTTTTAAAGGAAACTTTGTGAAGTTGTCGTAACAGCTGTTGAGACTTATTCCACATGGAGGCACAGACTGATTCAAATATATGACTTCGTTCGATCCAATCACCAAAATGCCACCGAGTGGTTTCGGAATAGCCACCAACCTAGAAATAGAAAGTCTGAGAGAAGCGCACTTTTCAATAATTATGAATGAACCAGTGGAAAATTCTGATCAAGCTGCAGATCACTCTTGATACATTCAACTATGATCATAGAAAATTCGGTACGCGGTTCGAAAAATACAGATAAGAACTGTTCTTACAGCAGTGCTGAAAAATGACTCATTATTAGATCACAATTTTCTAAAATTTTACGGTAGAAAAGTGCGTTATAATTCTGATGATAAGCTCTGCTTGATAGCCAAGCACTCCAGTCACTTGAAATCATGAGCGTCTCAAGCTTTTCAATTTCAAAAGTTTGCTTCTGCGTTAAATCAACCAGAAGCCAACCAGAAGCAATTCAACAGTTCAGAAACAAATAAAATTGGAAATTTTGAAAAAAAAACCAAACATTACTCAAGATTTTCACCTATTGCAATCCATGGGTAGACTTCCAACTTGCCAAACGATAGCAACTTGTTCGTCGAATACGTTTACAGAAACGCCTAACAAGTGCATCGTGTCATATCGAACAGAAGCTCTTAAAATATGCAGTCTTTTAAAAAAATAACCACTGTATGAAATAACCAGCTCCAGATATGAGAAAAGCCTCAAATATCATACTCATCTTTACTTTCTTTCTTAAGCTTCTTGACATAAAAGCCCCTTCTGAGATTTAGAACAGCCGATCACAACTAAGGAAAAAAGCACAGCACAGCTCTCACCTTCCAGCTGTTGTCTGATGTGGCTCATACAAAAACAGTAGCGTGGGTTCGTAATAGCCATCAAGAAACACCATGTCAACGATGTTTTCGAGTCTGAAAACATACTTTGAATGAAAAAAA